TTACTCTTAGATATCTGTAAATCGATACATGTATTTGATTCATTCATAATTTTTAGTAACGTCATGAAAGACATTTTCTGTCTGGCTGAATTAATCCAAGAAAATGAAAAAAAAATCCAGCGATATAGCACTGGTTTATTTAATTGGAGGAGTACAAAAATTTTACTTAAACCACAAAATTCCAAAGATCTTGAATCCTCACTTTCAACAATGAGGGCCTCCCGACTAAAAAAGAACAGCCAAGTTTATGTATACATGTATAGCCTGATTGTTTTATGTAAATGAAATTGAATTCACAGATGTTTCTACAATAAATTCAAGAAGTTAAACCGATGTTTCTGAAAACTGCAGCGTTTCAAGTTAACAGTTTGTTCGCACAGGCAATAGAAAAACTGTTGAAGGAAGACAAAAGTAAAGCTCGTTAGGTTTCAAAATTTCTGCAGATCTTGAAAGATGGTTTTAAATATCCTTTAAATTATATAGCTTTTCTGTTGTTTTTAGTTTGTTTGTAACCTATACTATGATCCTGGATATTCATCTACAAAATAAAGAAAACAATTAAGATAAGTAAAATGAGGGAATTTTTTTTTTCTATTGTCAACTTCCCTTATTTTATGTTTCAATATTCCATTATCACCTGCATTTGGAGTTTATGTAACCAAGTTGATTCAAGGGTACGTTATACGTGCTAACAATTTCTAAAACGAGGCATGTTATTTACAAATAAGTTGATGGTACAAATTAAAATATCAAATTTTATGGGTGATACATTGACCTTGTAAGCAATACAGTCTGTCCTTAGGTCGAATGTTGAATGACGTCTTTCAAACATTATTTTCACACTGATTTTTTTACGATTTTGTCCGTTTGCCCGATTATAACAAGGAGCACACGGCGGATGTGGCCCATCGACAGGGTTTGCTTACTCCTGTTTTTTCATTAATTAAAATCAAAGTTTGTAAATGTTTTAAATGAAATTTGTTTTTCATTTCTTGTAGGAAAGCATGTTCTAGGTATAGTGGCAAAAAATGTAAATTTTTCTCATGCAGAGAATCTGATGTAAAAAAAAAAATGCTAGCCTTGTTATCAAGCAGTGTTTTTGAAACAAATAAGATTATGTAGTATAATTTCATAGAAAAATTATATACATGTACCTATTAAATTAAAAACATTCATAGATATACATTTGGCTGAATTACATTAAGAATAATGAATATTGTAGAGTAATGACCTTTTGTAAATCAGATTTTCAAAGGAATAATGAATATTCAATTTATGACCAGCCTAAGCTAACACAGGGCCTAAATCCTGAAATCAGGGGACATGGGATTCAAAATGTAAATTTGTTTTTGTTTTTGGGTTTTTTTTTTTAAATAGCTATCCATTATTATCATACGAAGAGTTACCTGCTAGATGAAATTTGAAGATGACAAATAGTAATCAAACTCAAAAGTCCATTGAAACAATACAAATAAGGAGCAGAGCAAACACAGACCTCCAAAACATCAGAGGTGGGATCAGATGCCATGGAGGAGCGAGCTTCCCCTGCCGAACGGTCAAATCTGCCGTGTGCTCCTTGTCATGATCGGGAAATGACGGAAAATCCGTAGACAATTCAGTGTGTAAATAATGGCCTAACAATTAGTATGAAAAATGTCAGTCAGCATTTGACTTAATGATAGATTGTATTAATTTTGCTGACAAGACCAAAAATCTAGCAAAATGATGACTTCAAACGAAACTGTTCATATCTTTGTGTCATCAACTTGTTTCTCAATAGCTTGCCTCGTTTAGAAAATTGTTCATAGGTAGGACATGCTCTTGCTTATCGAATCAACTGAGAAACATAAACCCCATATGCAGGTGGTAAGGGTATATTCACTATATTGCTACACAAGTAAGGGAAGTTGACGGTTGAAAAATTGAAGTCATCACGTTTTTCATAAAGCTTTGTTGTTAGGTTACCATTAAAGTTTTTTTTTCTAGTAAAAAATCTAATTATGAAACAGATGTGCCATACTCTTTGGTATCTTTTATTTCAAGCTCACTGGGATATATCGAGTCCAAAATTTCCAGAAATATAAACCACAGTTACTAAGTAAAGAAGTAGAATCCCTTCTCATGTTACTTGTTTTCCTTCACAATAAATAGGTTTGATAATAACAATTTTGGAAAATGATCATGCAATTAAATGTCTTGAAATTCAGATATTTTTTCAGCCAAATGAGAGTGCTTTATCACAAGTGTTGTACATGCTTAAGTACAGAAAGTGATTTGGTAAAAAAAAAATTAAAATTGAAAGCTGGATCAACATTTGTTCATTTCCAAGTGTCAGGTTAATTCGCCCGCGGGTTAATTTAATGTATAAGATCCAACAGTTATTATTTGTTTTCGATGTTTAAATTTTAAAGTTAATTCTAGATTACAAATTTTTGAAATAGTTTTTTTTTTCTTCATGTCAGTATCAAAACACTGTAAAAATCCGCAACTTAAGTTTATAAAATCATGTTAAAATTGCTGAAGGTCATACGCAACGTACATGTACTTTACAATGTACTTTTCCCTCTGATCATTTTCCTAGATATTCATAATTCAAAATTATAGTAATATCAGATGTTTTAAGAAAAAAAAATCAGCACACATTACCAGGAGTTTTAAACAGATATGAGATGATGAAAATAAAGCAAAATTAGCAAAACTAAAGTTTTATTTGGTATTTCCTATAAATTTTATTTTGGGGAGGTGTACAGCAATACCAGGCATCATAAAATCGCACAAAGGTCCTTCAGCTATTGGAACTCTTATATTATTACAGGGAATAAGAAAAAAAGTTCAAAACTACGTTGAGTATGTTCTTAATTTGACCCCGTATTACATTTGCTATCAGTACTTTGATTCCTATGTAACTGAATTTCAACTCCCATGGGTACTTTTAGTTTGCTCATTATTCAATAAACAATGAATTACTTTTATATTGCTCTACTCTATTTTTTTTCACTGAAGAATTCCGGCGAGACCATTTGTGATCTTCGGCGTAAACACGCCTCTCAGTACGATGTCCTTTTTTGCGAGAAAATTCGTAATTCTGTTTATCGTATTTCAAAGGTTTGTATCTAAAAAAAAATATCTGAGGACAAAGTTTGTTTTAGAATTTTATTGTTTTTGTTTTATTTGATTTTAATTTTCTTTAATCTTACGGCCTGCTTCTAGCCCAAAGCAGTGGTTAATATGCGTCGTTACACACGAACTAAGGGTGCAGCATATTGTCTGTACGGCGTGGTTTTCCTCACAAATAAAGTCAATTTACATGACTTTAGAAAATATATTTAAAAGAGAATACACATGAAAATAGGAATCATTCACGCATGTAATCCGCAGTGTGCATTTTCCTACTTTCAATATCCATTTAGTTCATAGAGCCTCAATTAGAAGGAGACTAATTTATAATTAAGTCAGCATTAAGATGCATATTTTTTTTAAAAATTAGTTTAGTGATCTAAAACACGATTTAAAAATAGGTTATTTATCTTCGATCGCAGGACGAAATGTTTTCCTCTGTTAAAACTCATTGCTGTGTACAATAATTATCTGGGTAGTGATTTACAAAATCGGCCTATTAAAATGTTCCCACACTTTCTATCACATTTCTTTATCTGGTCCAAGACAAAGAAGAATAAGATATTTAAACTTTATTTTCGAACTTTCAATTACTACAGAATATAAACAAAATTCATTAATTTTGATACTTCGTTGTTTGTTTATTTCATATGGTACATATAGCTACACGCTTTTAATACAGTGTCCTATTAATACTGCACGCGATCAACTATGACCTTTGTTTCTTGTGTGTGTGTGTGTGTGTGTGTGTTGCTTTGTGTATCTCCCTAGCTGAAAATATTGATCGACCCGAAGAAATATTTCAAAATCTTAACTCTACCCATTGACTTAAAATTTATTGTTATTTTGGAAGAAATTTAAGTTTAAAAAAGATCAATACATGTTCTACATTTTTCTCGTTTTATTGTTGAACTCTGCTTTCAATATGTCTAAAATACAGAACTACATGTCATAGTGAATGGATAAAACGCCGGAGAGCCTACGTAAAAAGTTTTCCATTTAATTTTTCGGATGAATCTCGCGAAATGTATGCTAAAAAGTATACATAAGTAACCTAGCCAAATATCAAACTCAAGCCATAACATGCCAGCTATCAAATTTCAGTGCAGATTAATTGCCCTTTTTATTTTTTGACTGCTATTTTTATGCGTATTAATTGTTTGTTTGTTGTTTAATGATTTTAAATTTAATTATACCTATTTTCAATTAACCTAGAAACTTTTCGGCTTTCTGTTAGTAACACATGCATATTGTCCACGTTTTGCAGTCCTTATTAAAGGAAAACTTGTTCGTTACATTAGTGGGACAATCCGGTGTTCAATAATCGAGCCAGTTTGTTGGTTGAACGTTGCGCTGATGAGCAAGATGACGTTAGGTCAATTCGCAAATTAATTGTCACCATTGGTCTTGTCTTGACCTATCTGGGTTATACTTCGCATGGAATGAATAATCAACATTTATCTACAGCTAAATTTAAACCTTAAGCAAATACCATAAACATTGATAGTGTCAATCCCCTAATATACCTGTTAACACAGTTTTACTAAAGGTATCCTTCAATAATTTAAACAAGCAATAAAACTTCAAGTCCATAATCAGTGTAACGTAATTTAATTGTTCAGATATCAAAATGAAACAACAACGAGAAGAGCCTTCACATAGATGCTATACTAAGCTTATGTCTGGCAATCTGAAATTGATATTGCATAAGATTTTTTTGTGAATGATATCAATTCTCTCATCTATTGCACAAAAACCAAAGTGACATTATGGCATCAGAAAATACAGTTTGAAAGCAGGTGCTCCATATTGAAAGAGGTTGAATTTTAGAACATCATCCTAATATATAAAAAAGAGTGTTTACGATCAGTTATTAATTCCGCACAATGATAGCGGCACTACTCTGTGTTCTCATATTCCTTTTTTTAACTTGGAGGTTTCTTAGCGGGAGGAGGACAAACCTTCCGCCTTCACCTCCTTGCGTCCCTCTAATTGGTAATGTTGGACAATTCGCTCCTGAGGACTCTATAGTAGCCTTTAGAAAGTTTAGGCAAAAGTATGGCGATATTTTTAGCCTAAAGATTTTTCACAAGACGGTTATTATTGTTAATGGCCATGATCATATTTATAATTTATTGCTGAAGCATGGTGATGTTTTTTCCGATCGTCCAGCAGGTATATTGAGGGATTTTTTCAGTAAAGGAAAAGGTAAGTTTTTCATTGAGTGTTTTGTGTATACATGACGTAATAAACACAAAACATTTTAATGAGTAAACCAATAGAGAAAATTCTTATCCAATCACCCCGTCCGACGTAAATTTTGATACGTATTGCCTTGCTTTATATGCAAAGACGGCGTATTTACATTTAAAAATTTATACAAACGTATGAACCATTATAATTGTTCAAACCTCTAACTTCCTTCAGTATAAGAAAAAGAACACAGGTTATTATTTTTACGAAATTTTGCTGTCCTTCTCCTAAAAATAATCTTTCAGATAAAATGTTTTATTTATTCGCATAAAATAATATATTCCGGTGTGAGATATTCGCATATCCACAAAAAACTAAAATCGCAAAAATATTCTAATTTTGATATAAATTACTAACATTTACACTCACAGAAAAAACAGTTGAATTTGGTGAAAAGGTAGACATACGATATTTGAGTTGATAAAATCAGTGAGAGGAGGGGGTATCATTCAATGGAATTCCCGTGGCTTTAGAGTTATTTAAAGAGTTGCCTTTACTAATATAGGACCATTGCCCGGTAGCCATGTGTTTACAAGAAACATTTACAAAAAACCGATTAGATAAATATTAAAAACTATATTATGGTTTTATCAATTAAGAATAGTTACTTCCATTCATATGTCAACGTGATATATTCCAGTGAAGTTGAAATAAAAATATCGCAGTGTCTAACACATCTGTTCCATATTTGGATATTTTATTAGTAAAAGAAGTGAATGGTAACTTTACATCAAAACTTTATGAAGAACGTGATGACTTCAACTTTTCTATCGTCAGCTTGCCTTATTTATGTAGCAATATACCCTTATAACCTGAATATGGACTTTATCTCTCCAAGTTGGTTCGATACGCAAAGGCATGCTCTACGTGCAAACAATATCTAAAACGAGGCAAGCTATTGACAAACAAATTGATGAAAAAAAGATATTAACAGTCTCGCTTAAAGTAAACATTTAAGTTCTATGGTCAATACAATGTATCATTAAGTCGAATGCTGACTAACGTTTTTAATCCTAATTGTTAGACTATTATTTACACACCTGTCTACGGATTTTTCCGATTGTTCGATTATGACAATTAAGGAGCACTCCTCCATGGCACCTGTTCAGACCTCTGACGCTTTGAGAGGTTCGTATTTACTCTATTTCTGATTTGTATCATTTCAATGGACTTTTGATTTTTACACTTGATTACCGTTCTTTATATCCATATTTAATTGGTATTAATTAGAAAAAAAAAACTAAATTCTAAGGAATATTGTTAATTGCTGAATGTAATATTTTTTACTCTCAATATACACGAGAATAAGATTTTCGCGAGCAGACAATCAAGCGTAATTGTGCAGAAATAAAGTTCTCACGTATAAAAAGTTATTTACGTTTACTCCGATTCCAAAGCCTGGGAAAATCTATGCAAATCCTAATAATTGTTGATTAATTACATACACAATAAGCTGCGTATTTAAATCAATAGAGCGGATAATCTCTGGATCATCTGGGAGGCAAAACAGATCCCTCAATACACAAAAACAGTTGTATGACCAAAGTACAAAAGATCCCAGTGTTCTACATAAGAAATTCGGGGACTTCAGCCTTCTCATTCATCCTCATGAGTCCGAAATCGCTCACCTAAAAACTAAAGGAAGGGTATCCACTATTACCAATAATCTTTTTTAAATGATCGTCCTAAATCATTCAATGGAATTTTCGTGGCTTTATCTAGAGTTAAGTTTAACGAGCTGCTTTTACTAAAATGGGACCATTGCCCGGTAGCCATGGTGTTTCCAAGAAACATTTACAAGAAACCGATTAGATAAATATCAAAATATATTATGAATAACCATTACGCTTCGACCGAGAGAGCATCAGGTGCTTTTTCTCTTGCAATCCAGAACAATAAATTCTTAGCCACATAATTTTGAAAACAAATCATCCAAGCAGTAGCCATACGTCTTTCTTTTGATAAAATAGTGTAGGGATCCTTCTAAATTATTACAATTAATTACAGTCTCGGAAACTGCCGGTGAATTAATACAGCAACATCCTACTCCATTTCTTCTTATGGGCGACTTTAATGCCCATAATCCGCTGTTGGATACTGACAAAATAACAGATAACGGTTTTAAAAACTTGGATACAATATCTCATCACAAATGACGGCTCAAAAACATACCTGAATTAGGGTAATGTTTCATGTTCTTCGATAGATATAAGTATGGCAGCTCCTTTATTACTTTTAGATTTCAATTGATGTACATGACTTGTCCGGGGGGCGATCATTTCCCGATCATTTTTGAAAGAAGTAAACCTTTAGAAAACAGTCACGCGGGTATGTTAAGGCTACACCCAGAGATTTCCTACTTGCCTCTTCAATATGACGTCATAGTAAGCTGTATGACGTGAAGTATTAAAAAATGATTTCTTAATTAATATCTATATTCAAAGTTTAATTTCAGGTCCAAGAAATGAATGGAGTCATTCAAAAACATAATACAAGCAATATCTTGTCGTTTTTGGGTGGTATAAATAGCTAAGTATTTCTCACGGGGGTTAAATACCAAACCCATGACGTCATAACTATTGATCAAATATTTGCCGAGTGAAAATTAAACGTGACGAGAATTCATGTAAACAAGTATATAAAATGGGAGTTTTAAAGCATATACCGTGAATGTTATGTGTGATTCTTAAGGAATTAAAGATTAAGAATCAGGTACGCTGATATTTTCTTATCATGTTTTCTTATAACGAATACAGGCAGTGCTTTGAAATCCCGATCAGCCTTTCCTCTGTCGTTCTATAACAACAAAGTTGCAAAAGTTCAACACTACGCCGCATACTTTGAGACATAATTTTTGTTTGTATCGAAATCTTGTATTCTATAGTACTTGGAAAGTGCTGCTAGAATCGTGTGATTAACATGGATTGATGACAATTCCTTGATCGCTTGTACAAAATGTAATAATTTTGGTAAGGTTTCATGTGAAACTTTGGAATAATTTTTTCTGTGTCGGGAGAGTAGGATTCTAGCAGCACTTTTCATGACCCAGTGATGTTTTTACATAATCATTTTCAGAAAAAGAAATGAATTATCCCCGGGGTAGTGTTGAACTTTTTACTTTTTCATTAAGGCAATTTTTCTATTTATAGACGTCACGTGATAACGTCGTAGTGGAGTGCTTCTTTTAGCCTAAGACTCAATGACGTCTATACAATGGATAATAATAGTAAATGTTTTATCCATGGCTTTTCCGATTTATCAGTGTTACATTTTACGAAAAAAGTCTCGAATTCGCCGAAATATGATCTGGGTACTGCCTTAACATACCTGCGCACTTTTACAAAAAGGAAACTAAACAAGGCTGATTGGATACAATTTGAATACCTATACTTTCAAAATATTTCGAATGAGAAGTTTGAAAACCATCCTATTTGGGAAAATTTTGTTTCAACCTTTATTTCGCATAATCATATTCAGAAAGTACGGAACGCGATAATGAAAATAAAAGAAAAAGGTTCCGGCGAAAAATATCAACATCTTAAAGTTTGAAATCAAACTTCACAGACAAAAAAGATATATGTAATGAAATAGCTGACATAACTTCCAAGAAATTCCTCGATTAATAACATGAGCTGTTATCAAATAACTTATTCAAATTCACTGGAAAAGAAAACATACAAGATTTTACATCTGAAAATAATGTAATGAACCATTAACTTTTGATGAATTGCAAAAGTCTTCAGAGAAATCTCATGATACAGCTGTAAGACCGAAACAGATTCATTTTCAATAATAAAACAAAACACAGCAATTAAACAATCTCTTGTGCACATCTTTAATTTGATTTGGAAAGATGTCATTTCCCATCTTCCTGGATGCATGCTACAGTTAATTTCTTGAAACCTTATTTTAGCGAGATGATTATTTGGTATTAATAAGAGTAACAAAATTTTCACGAATATTGTTATTGTTAATTGTTCAACATAATACTTTTTACTATTAATATATAGGAGAATGAAATTTTTGCGAGAAGACAATCTCGCGTGATTACGCAAAAATAAATTTTTAACGTATAAAAAGTTATTTATATTTTTCCGATTCCAAAGCCTGAAAAGAACCATGCACATCCTAATAATTATCGGTCAATTGCTTTAACAATAAGCTGCGAATGTAAAACCATAGAAAGGATGATCAACGAATGCTTCATATGGTTTATTTGAAACCAATAACATTTTTACTAATATACAATGCATTTCGAAAAGATTTTGTTTATATATATGTATATGCGTATATATATATATATATATATATATATATATATATATATATATATATATATATATATATATATATATATATATATATATATATATATATATATATATATATATCTCCAAATAACTGTGTCACACTCCCATTCTCAATGATGGTGTAGTGTTGGGTGGCTCCGCGAAAATTCCATCGGCATCGAAAACAGGTATTTTGACTTGTGTAGATAAACGACTTGGTATTAAGCAACAAATAAACAATCATGTATATATAACATAAACCCTCGTGTTAAATTATGAATGTAAGTCGTGTTCACCCAGCGCCTTTTTCCGGCGTGTCAAATTTCCATAAAATGAGGATGATTGATTTGATAAAATGACATATTAGCAGAAAGGTTCATTTCTGGCCATATATCTAATGAACATAATTTTCAGGTTTCTGTATTAGAATTCCTAACTCAGGAAATTTTTCCCAAACCGGAAAATTCCATTTAAATAGATAACGTCTCATAAGCTATAACGTAAAATCTTGAATGACCTACAACATCTGGTTTGAATTTTACAGGTATATTTTGTGATACATGTGAACAAAATATGTGAATGCTTATGAAAGGACTTCTTGGGAAATTCTTTAACATGACTTTTTTATTTATAAACTCTATTCGTTTAAGGAGTTTTGGGAAGCTCTGGTTCATCCTGGAAGGAACAAAGAACATTTTCGCTCAATGTGTTGAGGAAATTTGGATTCGGTAAGCGATGTCTGGAAAACCAAATCATGGACGAGGTTAGAGGGCTTCTGGAGGTCATCGAAAAGTTTGGAGGTCAAGCCATTGACATTGAAGAACCTCTTACAATCAGCGTTGCTAATATCATCTGCTCCATCGTATTTGGAAAACGATTTGATTACAACGACGTGAAATTTAAACGGTTATTGTTTCTTCTCAACGAAATTTTTCACGTCACGACCGGAAGTTCGTTTTTGGTCCTTTTTCCGACACTAAGACATGTTCCATTTGATATTTTTAAAGGCCAAACTGTTCAGAGAAATCTTGATGAGATTCAATCTTTCATTCGAGAAATAATTGACAACCATCGCCTTTGTTTTGACAAGAACAATATAAATGATTTTATTGATGCTTTTCTGTTGGAGCAACAAAATCAAGAAATGGAAGGCAACGCCTCCTTTACTGGTAAATGTTTAAATTACAGTCACTCTTGCATTATTATTTTTTTAATAACCCTCTCTAAAATCGAAATTTATTTTCATATTAATTCATATAGATGTTTTGTTGCAGCATCTAAAAAACACATTTATTAAACAATCTTTTCAACGTGGTTTAAAGTTTTCTAAATCTGTATCGATTCACATCTTATTTTAAAGAACTCCTTGTCTTCTAGAAAATTTTATTTGTAAAATCATAATTTTTTTTTTAAATTCTCCTCTGAATAAGGCAATCCCTTGCTAGCATATATGGAACCATCTACTAAGGTATTTTATTCATATTGTTAATATAATCCATTGTTATGCAGACGAACAGCTCGTGGTTACAGTCCAAGATTTCTTTTCTGCTGGGAGTGAGACAACAGTGACGACACTTCGATGGGCTTTCCTATTTTTGATACATAATCCATATATACAAACCAAACTACACAAGCAAATAGACGAAATCATTGGAGAAGCCATTCCTCAAATAGAGCACAGGGAGAAATTACCATATATGGAGGCTTTTGTTCTGGAAGTTTTGCGAATGGGAAATATAGTTCCTCTTGGACTTGCTCATTGTCCAAATCGTGATTTTGAGTATGGTGGATATTTATTTCCAAAAGGTGTCACTGTATTGCCCATCCTCGATTCTGCATTACAAGATCCAAACATATTCAACAATCCACAAAAATTCCAGCCAGAGAGGTTTCTGGATGGAGAGGGGAAGTGCAAGGGGACACAAAAGGATAAGATGATTCCATTCTCGACAGGTATGATTTTAATGGAGATGAAATTTGATTTTTAGTAGTAAAAAAGGCATGGAAATCTTTCAAATTCATCAGTTTTCTTTTTTTTTTTTTTAATATAGATATCATTACTAATGTTAGGGAAAAAAATAAGCTACTGCTTAACAAAATTGTTTTTATTATTCAATATGCATGAACATGCTCTGAATACAATAAATTTTAAAACCGAGACAGGGTACAGACAAATAAATTAATGTTACAGGAATTTTAACAACCTCGTTTAAAATCAGCATTTTTAAAATTATTTGGTCGTTATATTGATCTTATGTGCAAATGCTTTGGATCGTAGTTTGATTGGTATTTTCTTTGTTTTTATAATTAAATGTTGACGGATTATTACATGATGAATACATAGGGCTCACGGTGGATGTCACCGATCAATATGGGATGCTCACTTTCCCTAGGTACCTGATCTCACCTTTGAAATTTCTAGGGGTCCGTGTTTTATGCCAATTTTACAGATCTGTATTGTAATTTTTTGTAGATTGATCACCTGTTCTTTATCTTCACCTTTCTTATTTAGGAAGAAGAGTTTGTCTTGGAGAAAACTTGGCAAGAATGGAGTTATTTTTGTATTTGGTTGCCATTTTACAAAAACTTGAGATTCAGCCCGTGGATACTAGCGATTTACCTTCCCTTAAAGGACATCTGGGCATCACCTATATGCCAAAGCCCTACAAAGTGAAATTTATCAGACGGTATTAACACTTTCAATTTGAAATCAGTCAATGCCATATTTTTTTTAAATTGTTACAATGATTTTCTTTCGCCAGTTTGTGAATAATTAGTAAAGTTTCCACATCTTAACAAGAATTCTTATGTTATAAGATGTAACTGTTCCAGTGGTCAAATAAACCACTGATTCCCTGTAAATTAAATATTCATTAAGCAATATTAAATTTAAATTCAAATTGGTAACCTGTTGTTACTTTTAGAGACCACTTCTGTGTAGCCTTTGCTAACCTTTGATTTTGTTACTTAAGTTGCAGCAAATGTATTCGAAAATACCGATAAAAAGTATTACTTTTTTTGTAATCCTTATCCGCAAATATTTATACATATCTAAATACATGTAGTTACAATTATCCAATTGAGGCTACTGTATATTTTATACCCAATTTGACTACGGAGTATTCCGTCTACCTGATCAATGGCCCATGGCAGGTGTGGCCAGTCAACAGGGGACGCTTACTCCTCCTCTGAAATTTCCAGGGGTCCGTGTTTTATGCCCTGTTCACAATTCGTAATATTTCTTGAGAGGCAGAAAAATAGCCTTATAGAAATAATGGATTGGGAAACGTCTTTGTCTGAGATATAAATAAAATGTTGTTTTTGATTGGATTAGAGAGACACACCTTTAGACTGCGGTGTATCTAATTCCAGCAGGCATGCTATCGAAAGTAGATTAAAAAAGAAATAAGATATGACTTATGAGACGAAGATAGACGTATTTGGCATGTAATTTGCAGAAATCATGTATACGAAACAATTATAGTTTGAATGTCCGCGATTTGGTCAGCTTACTACAGTTGAACAGACTTTACAAAGTTCCACACATAGGGAAATGTTAGATTTACATTGAAATACCTTGTCAAATTGTAAAACTTAAGTCCGCTTATATTAAAAGTTACGATAATATAGTACCACTCATAAATAATAAACACCTATAAGATAATAGGGTATTCTTAAATGTAATTAAATCGAAATTTTAGGAGGTTGGAAGAATTACTTTCGCTCTTGGTCCAGCTGAATAGATACTGAATACAGGGCAATTTTCGCTTTTGGGCGAATTTAAAACGGGGCGAATTCAAAGAAAACGGCATTAAATCTTAAACAGAACTGTGTGTGGGCGAATTCGAAACGGGGCGAATTGTTTGCAGGTGTGAAAGGGCGAAAATAACCCTGTATATATATATATATATATATATATATATATATATATATATATATATATATATATATATATATATATGAAAGGTCATAAAAGAGAGAATTTCAGAAAAAAGGCCCAAATTGGAACTTGAAAACGTCATTTTTCAACCATCATTTGGCCCAAAAGGTGAAAATGAAATGAAAATTTATTGCACATCAGCAGGACACCTCCAATCATCTTGCAAAAGATGAAGTGACTACTGCATTAAATGTATGAGGAATTCTGGGAACCAATTTTGTTTAAAATGTAAAATGGCGTTCCTCCCTATTTAGTCCTCAGGATGAAAATGAAAATTCCAAAACCTTATTGCACATCTACAGGACACCAATAATAAACCTTCTAAAAGATGGTTTGGCTACTGGGTAAAATGTATGAGAAGTTCTTGAAATAAGGTTTCTGTTTAAACAATCTTTTTACGACCCCCATTTGGATCCCAATGTGAAAATGAAACCTTTTAGCACATCTCCAGAACACCACCAAACATCTTGCAAAAGACGATTTGGCTACTTTCGTAAAAAGTTATGGGAACCAGGTTTCTGAACAAAAAACGTTGTTTTCAACTCCTATTTAACCCCCAGAATGAAAATGAAAATTCTGATAACTATCTACAGGACACCACCTATCATATTCGAAAAGATTACTTGGTTACTGCTTAAATTGTAAGAGGAATTACAGGAAGAAGAAAGTGTGACAGACGGAAGGACCAGGATAACAATAATACACAAGGTCTTTCTTTAGAAAGTGTCCAGTTTCTTTACACTCATTTTACATAATTAATTTTAAGAACTCTAGTTTGGAAAAGTCTTTTGTTAGACATATGACATCACTGAAGACTTCCTTTATATTTTGACAACACGGTGTGACATTTTTATCACAAATATTCTCTTCTTTTTTCTAAATGTGCTGAATATGATCTCAAATATAATTCGAGAAGGCAAAAAAAGCATTTGGTCATATTTGATTTAATTTTTCTCTTCACACAAAGTTAAACAATACTGTATATGGATGGTACACAAGACTTAAATTCACACAAGAACGTTTACACAAGAGTAGAAGATAAGTAATGAATATGTACGCAAATATGAAAGTTAATGTCATTCTAATGGTTTTCCTCGTTTAAAATCACCATAGTCTCAATCACTATAATGCTTAAGGGTGAATTTAAAAAAAATGACCAAACGCATATTCATCAACCCACACTAAAAATACAGGCAATGAAAATAGATTTCCATGTCTCAGCATATGTCTTTAGATAGTGTCTAAATACCTGCCAAATATCTCGTTGATATCTCAATTAACAAAAAAGTTATGCCCATAAATGATGCTAAAATTGTCAGGAGTGCAACACCTTTTTGTGACATTTTGAAATTTCAATATTTTTTGGAGATCTGTGAAATAAATAACAATGCTTTATATTGAAGATAAAGACTGTCCTGATAATATTCAAAGTATTGAGCATCAAATGTGGACTGTAGTAACTTTTGTTTACTCAAGTTGTGGTCATGGCTGATGTTTAAAAAAATGTTATACCATGTCAGGAGTGCAACAGAAAAAATGTAGTGTTGCCAAAAAAACATCAATTGTAAAATTCTGAAAGAAAATTAAGACAAAAAAGAATTTTCGAAGGGTAAAACAATAACTGATATACATTTTAAAACTTAAAAATGTTATATAAATCACAAGCAGCATTAATGAGAGTCAAGTATATGTGCATACCCAATAATGCCAGGAGTGCAACATTTGATGTTTTGCTCTCAAGCATGAAAAACTATTATCATTATGATTTTCTGATTTTTATTTTGGAAAATAAAGACACAAAGAACATTTTTACCAAATAGATTTATCAATTACAGGATCTGTCTCTGCTTCAGATCTATATTTCTTTGGTCAGGAGTGCAACACATTTTTTTAAAGATTCAAGTTTTGTGACGAAACACTTCTATTCATGCTTAGAAGTATTAATTAATTAATTAATTAATTAATTAATCTTTTTGTAGAATTTAATACTAAATTATTGACAGTTTTATTATTAAAATCCTTCCTTTTTCAATTTTATCAATTTAGATGTGTTTTTATCTTTTTTGTGATTTTTATAATGAATGTTAAAAATAAACACACTAAAAAATTGTCATAAAATTCAAGAAATTCCTCCTCAACTTCACTGAAACAACAGAACAAGTTCTTATGTAATTTTCACATCACAATTCTACTTTAAAGGCCCCAGTGCTTTTGGTCAGGAGTGCAACAATTATGTTAGAATTATAAATCATCCAGTAAGAATAAAGATAAAGAAAAAAATGATGAGTAGAATTTTTCTGGTGGGTTTCTGTGCTTGTCTTCTGAAGGAAAATATGCTATAAAATATATTTTATCTTCTAAATATACATTTAAGCTAGTTTTTTTGGCATAAATATGAAACAATTCCAGATAAAATGCGAATTTTAAATACGTTCATCTGTTTTAATTATGAAGTACTGGACTACAAAAATTGCACAATTGCATTACCACTTGATGTTGCCAACACTTTTTGAATTTTTGTGTTCTATGGTTTTAATTTTAAATTTTACTGCAGTCAGGAGTGCAAAAAAAATGCCTTATAATTACCAATGCTTTTTAACTATCTTTACTAAAAATAAGTTGAAAAAAAAATTGTTTGATAGTAACTATTTGATGTTCAAAACACTATATCTATCAACAAATTACAGAAATTTTACAGTCAATTCAGGGAATAGTTTTCATCATTTCACATATATTTTTAAATACAATTTATATATATTACACTTTGCAAATCTTCAAGATCTTCAAAATATGAAAAACCTGCCGTAAATGATGAAAAATATCAAAACGGCAAATTGATTCACAAAATAAGAATGGATTATATTGTGTGTTATAATTTTTAAAAATTATGTTAAATAAAATACATATCAGATGTCAGGAGTGCAACACAATAATGTAACATAGGGTCACTTCAAAATCTAGTATTTTTTGTAAGAGAACCTGTATATAAAAATTCTTTTTTGGCTTAGATTTGAAGAATTGACTTGAATGAACAAAAAAGTGAATTTTGGGTAATTTTATTGCTTCATATTTCTTTCATATTAAAACTTTTCAAACCAGAATTGAAAAAATAATGTAAAATAACAATCAAAAAGCCAATTTTTTGTCACATTTTTGAGAGAAGATACTCAATCAAGGTCTAGATTTAATCATTTATACCCCTTTTACAATTTTGAAGCATAAAAAACTATAATTTCTTGTGATTAAGTATTTTAGAAAGTCTTTTAAGGTGTAATGATATTTTCTTTTTTCAAAAGAAATTTTACCAATAAAAATTCTGAAATTTTTTAATCCAATTGTTTATTCTATTGCCACTTCAGGATTTTAAACTAGAATGCATGTGCAATATGGTGATATAAGTGAAAAATATGTTATAAGTAGTTGAATGTTTCCAAAAAATTTCAGTTTGGTGGTTATTTTTTTTTAATTCACCCTTAAGTATTGGTTTAAAAAGTTAACAGTTACAATCTATTATATTACCATTTAAAAAAAAAACACTTAAGAATATAGTTCCATTGAAAAAGAGAAATACAGTATAAACGGACCAAAAAAGTTTTCCAATATACAACTTGGACTGTAGATGTTAATACTGCATAGTTGTGTTTAAATGCTAATGATTTGAACAACTAAAAGAATGAAAGTATATTAAAAATTTCAAAAAAAATAAATTCATAATTATCTTCTTTTTTGTGACCGATCATATCTGAACTACCTTTATAAAGCAGCCATATGGAACTCAAATCATTCATT